GACATCTGTTCAACGATGTTCATAGCAGCACTATCTGTAATAGCCAGAAACCGGAAGCTGCCTAGATGTCCCTCAACCAAAGAATGGATGGAGAAAATGTGGTACATTTTCACAATGGAGTACTACTCAGTGGAAAAAAACAATGGAATCTTGAAATTTGCAGGAAAATGGATGGAACTCGAAGAAACCATTCTGAGCAAGGTAACCCAATCACAAAAAGACAAACATGATATGTACTCTCTCATACGTGGATTTTGGACATAGAGTAAAGGATTACCATCTTACAATCCACACTGCCAGAGAAACTAGTAAACAAGGAAGACCCAAAAAGAGACAAGCTTTGTCCCCGGGAGAGGGGGGATGGGCCCCCAACCCCTGAGAAAATTGAGAACATGGGAAGAGGGGGAGGAAGCTACTAGAGTGACAAAGGAAGAAAAGGAAGGATGCAGAGGTCATGAGGAAGCAGAAATTTTGAGTCATGTGTAGATTACAAGAAAGGATAGGTAGGATTTTAGTTGGGGTAGGTGGTAGAGGAGGAAGGGAGGGAGAAGGGAACTGGGATCGTCATGTAATTCAATCTTGTTTGTAATTCAAATATATAAAAAACAAAATCAAAACAACAAAACAAAACAAAAATACCAGCTACTGTTTTGAGGCATTAAATAATAGAAATAGTTTTAAGTGCATATTTATTTACAGCATAAATATACAAGTTTGTGTCTTGTTCATATTATGTACCAAAACATTCATATCTCTTTTTTACCACTTAAAGGACCTAAAACTGGCTTGTTCTGCAGTTTTCAGAGCTGCTTGGGTGTGTGAGTCTAGAAAGTTATACAAGTTGCCCATCACACTGATTTTTAGGTCAAATATAGAACTACATTGGATGTGATGGGTGTTCTGTTTATATCTTCTGAGAAAAGAACAAGAGGAGGACCATTAAGCTATAATAAGACCATGCTATTTATAGGATGAGCAGACCCACTTTCTTTTTGGGCTTCTGTGGGTGGTTGGTGAATCTACTTCACCAAAAGCTCACATAGAATTCATTAGACAGACCTCCCCATGTTCTTAGTGAAAGGTGGGATAGCATAGACAGAAAGGTGCTATGGCCTTTCCCCCCACAGCCACATGGGAGACTAAGATTCCCTGACTCTCCATCAGGGAACCCCAGAAGAGAATGGGGTCAATGGAGGAGGGACTTGGCATCTAAAGCCAATGATTCCATCATAATCCTGGTCTCTTCCTCTGTGATGCATGCCATCTTCTCTTTGAAACTCATTTTATTTATTTATTTTACATTTATTTGTGTGTGCCCATGTGTGTGCACACACATAATACGATGTGCAGAGATCCGAGGACAACTTGTTGTAGGTATTGTTTCTTCCATTATAAGGATCTAGAGGATCGGGTTGTCAATCTTGGTTCAAGAGCTTATAAACCCTGAGCCATCACATTGGTTCCAAGTATTGTGGATTTTTCACTTTTATTCTTGATGTTTCAAAATACTTTTTGAGAATTTTATGCCCATATACAATGTATTTTGATCAAATCAACCCCTGTTCCTTCCATTCTAATGTTTCTTACACATGCCACTTTCCTCTCAACTTCATGTACTTAATGAAACAACCTTCGAGCCTTAGGCAGATGCCCTTCTGGCAGGACATATTTAGAAAAAATTTGGATGGCCTGTCACAAAGAATAAATGAAATGAATATCTTTCATATAATTTTCTCATAACGTCTTACAAACTGTCACATCATGACCTAAGAAGAGAAGAAACAAAATGCTGTTATGCTGTAGTTTGTGTCTGGAATGCTTCACAAAGGCCCTTTGTTATAGGCTTTATCCTCAGCTAAGCACTATTTGAGGTTGCAATAGACACTTTGAGGTGAAGTCAAATGAGAGACTTTCTGGTGACTGGGGTGGGGCATGCTTTTGAAGGGGATGTTCCCCTCTGGTGTAGATCTACTGTGCACTCGTCACTAGTCTTCCTGATTTACCTGCCTTGCCGTGAGGGTGAAGAAGTTTTCAAAGAAACGTGCTAAAAGAATGCAACACAGGACTAGGAAAGCATCAGCACTCAGGGAGCACAGGACAGGAGCAGGGGTTTCCTTAGATTCTTAAGCTTAGAGTGCTGTGATACAGAGTAGTCACTGCAGGATCATCTGTGTGCAGGTACCCATCCATGGACTGTCCTTGATGCAGCTGAACAAATAAATGAGGTCAATCTCCCCTCTCTAGGTAGGGATAGTTGCTCCCTATCACTTGAAAAAAGAATTAATTCTTGACAGGAAAAATATTTAGAAAAATAACCTTTATTCCTTATTTTTTCCTATTCTGAATTCATTGTGCTCCATTAATGTAACTGACGTGATTTAAGACCCAGTAATTCACACCTGAGCTTGAAAATAAATTACCCTATCCTAGTTAGTATTTTTGAAGGAGCTAGCTGACTAGAGTGTATTATAGACTTGTGAGGTGAGTCTTATTTGTAACACATCTCATTGATACACACACACACACACACACACACACACACACACACACACTACAACAGTAAAAGTGAAGTTCAAATGCATAGTGAGTTTTTATTCCACTTACTTAGATGTCTGAGCTTTGAAATCATAGATAGCTTTTGCAGGTAATTTCTGAAAAGAAAGGTAAACATTTAGCACTAATTTAGCATTTTAGATTTCATATAAAAACAATATAACACATGTGATATAAGTGATATGTGCAAGTTACAAATGTATCAGTTACTGCTACCTTTAGACTAGTGAGCTTCATGGGGATACAGGAGCTGATTTCTTCATTAGGCTTCACTTCAGGAACTAAAGCAGATTAATGCCATAATAAGATAAAACACCCACCAAGGATTCTGTCCTAGGTGTATCATTTTTGAATACCACAGACAGACAATTGTGGAGGACCAGCTGCTCTAACTTTTGTGGGTTGATGCTAGTCTGCTGAATCATAATAAAAGAAACAAAAGACACAAAGGGGGAGTTATCTTCTTCACTTAATACTGATTATCCAGGAAGTAGTAGCCCAGTTATCAAGAGGGTAATTAGCCAAAAATAGAGGAATGGAGGGTTCAGGAATCCTTTGGCTTATCTTTTAGTTATGAAGTGATGCCCATGCCCATGTCTACCCTCAAACTCTGGGCCCACAAATCTACTTGAGGAACAATATACCTTCCCCCTGTGATTCTCATGAACCTCAAGAAATGGGCAATTTATGACTTCATAGAGGTTCCACAGGGTGTCTCAGATACCTGTTAGTCAGAGCTCAGTTTTTTAGTTTCCTTCAAGCCTTCAAGGCTTCCAAGGCAGTTAGGAATAGGTGGTTCAGCTCTGGCTTAAGGTGATGGGCCAGGAGTCAGTGGTGTATAAGAACTTCCCAATGCTACAAGAACTTGGTGGTCTTCTCCAGCAAAAGTACTTGTGTAGAAACTCCCCTCCCTCCACAAAGCAGGCTAATTAGAACTCTATTAGTTCATGACTACCAGGCCCAAACTCAGAAAGGCCTCATTGCCTTAAGTGCATCCCAAGTTGGGAGTGACTGGAGCTCACATTCTAGACACAGGCACTAAGCAGAACTGCTTCTAGATTCTTCTTGTTGCTGTCAGGCATCAGTCTGAATTCTTTCCTTGTTTGAGGTACACATTTGACTGGTAAGTGCTTTCTCAGTTTCTTTTAAAAACTGTTTAACTACCTCTTTTTCTGGAGTTCCCCTTCGTTCCCGAGATGCACTTCTTCCAAAGTCAGTCAGAGTAGATGAGTGACTTCTAGGTGACTCATGGTCTGTTGGAAATAATAAGGTGAATCAGAATAAGATTTGATTTCATTGAAAAGAGACTGTTTAGCCACTTTTCCCTGCTGGCAATTACTTTATCCCCAAATTTGGTGAGGTGTCACTAGTGAGAACATGGATGGAAAACTCATAATTAACTGTAAAGTATGATATAAGACACACATACACATTGAAAATGAAGAAATACACAACAGAAATATTATAATCTATAGAAAATATTATTATATTGCCAATTATTTACACTGCAATCCTTGGTGTAGATAATTCACAGTTGCAGGGATTTTCATACTCTAAATTTATCATGCTTAAAATTTCTATTCCTTTTTGGTTTCAATATAAAATTATTATCATAAGATATATAAAGAATTTAAAAGCTACACATTTGTAGGAAGAAAATGTTATATCAAATACAATTTAAGAAGTAATGATGAAATGAAAGATAAACTGTGAGCATGACAGGACTATGGTCATATTCTCCCATGCTCTGTGTGTGTGTGTGTCTTTTCTGTTTGTAAATACTCATTATTGGGTCTTATGATTTTATATCCTTTATGGCTTTCCCTTGTACACAAATGTTCAAGTAATCAGAGAGCAAATTATTACAGAAAACAAAATGTCAACCAGAAAAGCCTCAGATGAAGTTGCCAAATTGCTTATGGTATATTGAGGTCTTGTTTACATTAAAGCAAAGTTAAATAATTACATTTGAAAATTATGACTGCAAATATCCCTCTCAGTTTCTTAAAACTTCCATAGTTGTATGACTTGCATGTAGGAATGTAACTAAAGTTTGCCTGTATTCTGGTGGCATCAGGGAATTTTATCTGTGTACCTGGGTCTAAGTTTAAAAATTATTTATTCACTTTAACAAATTTAAATATGTTAAATAATACAAATCATTAAGATAAATTTTATTTATGTATGGTATAAATTTTTCAGTGTTTCAAATTCATGTTTTGATGATGTACTATGCTTATATAGAGGACCAGAAAATTGAAGAAGGTAGTTAAAAAATTGGATGAAACTTCTTTTAGTCTAAATAGAAACTGATTAGAAATTTTAAATGACTTATTGAATTTAAAATTTATAAGTCTATTTATAAAACAAATTAAATTATTTTACTATTATGCTATTATTCTATTTCTTAATATATCATTTTTATTATATATATTTTTGTGTGTGTGGGATTTTGGGGTTTTATCTGCTTGTTCTCTGTGCACCATGTATGTTCAGTGCCCTTGAAGGCCAGAAAAGGGCATTAGATTCTGTGGGATTGAAGTTATAGACAGTTGTGAGTTGCCATGTGCCCACTGGGAATGGAACCTGGATCCTCTGGAAGAGGAAGGAACAAGGGGTCCTAAAATTGAGCAATCTCTCAGCCCTTACTCTAACTTATTGTTTTTCAGCATGTTGCACAGTAGAAATTAAAGTGAAGGTAAATGTTAATAAGTAAAATTATCCACTAGTTATTAAGTTTTGTTTCCTTTTGCCCCTAGAAATTATATTTTATATTATACATTTTGAGTTAATAGGGCCTTGAATTCTCTTGACATTATTGTAATCTGTGTAAGACTGAGGAATTATATCCTCTTTGTCTATCAATTCCTCCATTGTAAAACAGCACTTACACTAATACCCATTCATTGACTTATGGGGGTTTCAATTAGGGGATGCATGTGGCTAAAGCTCCCCCCTCTCTCTCTCTATATATAGACATACACACACTCAGCATATATGCTGAGTGGGGACAGATTTCTTTGAGTGAACAGGTACGATGTTCTAGCATGAATATAGAAATCAAGGGCCAAGTAGTGAAACTACTGACTGATTCATAATGAATCAAAATGATATCTTAGAGATGCGGATATTGAATTATAGTTTTGTCTTGATATATTATTTTGAATCTGAGTGGTGATTATTTCAGGGTATAAGATAACTGAGGAAAATGGCTATTTTGTTAGAAAGTTGGATTCTGACATATCTTAATCTGAAAATGTCCAGAACTGTCTTTTTAAAAAACATTGTAATCTACTGTTTGTGAAGCGTGTTTCGTAGCATCAGTGCAAATATACACAGTCACTAATGACATGGGGACTTTTCATCTCATCTGTCTTCTCAAAGTCCTACTTGTTATAACCCTAATATTAAGTGACAAATGTGGCTTGCTTTTATTTTGAAGTGAGCAAATGCTTAGGAAGTTGATGATTACTTTCAGTCAACACATGAACGTCAAATATCACACAGGCAAAAGAGAGCTACCAAGTCAGACACATCTGCACAGCACAGGTTTTCTTTGTAACACATAATGACATCAAGTGGTCTCACAGCTTAAGAGCGATGAGAGATGCAGGATGAAAAAAAAAAAAAAGAATGAGTTGGGAGGATGGCAGCTGAACCACAAGGGAAAAAAGAAAGAAAACTTCATCCACCTTGGAGACTCAGTGCACTACCATAGTCCTGTGCATGGTAGCTGCTGTTGGCTGTGTCCACGTCTGGGAAGGAGGCACTGTGAGGCATCCTCCCACAATCACTTTGGTAGAGTGGACAATGAATAGCACCATCTTGAGGCAGTGGGTGGAAAGGCTGATGCACTGGGCTCCTTCTCAGAGCATTAAGGGATGAATTCCTCTCAGGGATCTCCGGCAACAGTTCGCTGATAAGTCTATGCAGTATACTGTTGTCTGGTAGGCTCCCCCTTCTTTTCTCGGCCTTTATTTGGTCACAGATGTCTTTGAGGGCGGAGTCCAGAGCCTCAACTACAGAGGCTTTGCATTTGGCCTGTTCAGGCTGATTTTTGGGAGTCACATTCTTTTTCCTTCGGAAAGGCACGGGGCTGACTAGAAATGCAAGTTTAGATAGGCCGGGGTCCATTTCTTGCCTTCTGGGTTGGTCAATGTTTTCATGCTTAGCTCTTTCATGTTTTAACATGGTGGTAAACCGAGTGTAAGAAGCTGGACATGGGCCTTTGCAGGAACTGATGAGGTGCCGGTGATGGTGGTGGTGGTGGTGATGATGGTGATGGCTGGATCCGTAGAAGCTTTCAGAAGACGTGAAGGAGAAATGGTCAAAATCACTTTCACTGCAAAAGGATGACCCTTCAACGTGAACATAGTCGCTGTGGTCAGACACAACTCCATCTTGGTCACTGTCGGAAAACTCTATGTGTGTTCTGGGATGCTCGTCACTGGTGACTTCGATGTGGATGGGCACTAGAGTTTTAGACTTGCAGTTTCGCTGACCCTGAGAAGGCTGTCTACCCTGAGTTTCTTCCTCCAGCAGAGACTCAATAGAAAACCGCCTCTTGGGACACAGACCATTTTGTTGGGGTTCTAGGGTTACAGGAGACAACATCTCATCCCCTAGATTGGGCATGGACTTCGACTTCTGTATCAGCTTTTCAAATTCCGAAATGCGGGTGGGTACCATGTCCCTGGGCACCTCCTCGGTGGAAGACTGGCTCCATCCATGGAGCAGACCCCTGTGCTGCTGTTCCTTTTCATACTGCAGTATCCTGGACTTCACAGAGCAAATTACCTCTGAATTCATCAAATCCTTGCGGTTGATGCGATGCATTTTCTTGTACATTTTGAGGAAGCCTGGGGCATTATGGGCAGACCTGTGTTTGATTCTAGATCTGCTGTTACCGCACACTTCCTGGATGTACGGGGAAGTCCACATCATGGGGCAGCCCTCTTTGGAGTCTTCTTCGCATAACAGAGAACCCATACTTTCTGACTTGGCTTTAGGGTCTGGGAAGCTGTCGCAGTCGTCATTCAGGAGATCATCACAGCTACGTGATTTGATTTTGGGGGACACAGTCTCTTCGGTGCTGCTCCAGATCTCTGCATTTTGCCGGGCCATTTGCCATCCATTCTTGAAGGTGATGGCCCTTTGAGAATCCCGGGGGACATCCAAATGCTGTCTATAGGCACCACAGTACTCTAACTCACTAGAGGGGGCGCCATTAAGCCCCGAGTAACTGCAAAGGGATGGACACATTTTGCTATCATCCCCACCTTTCAATCCAGAGCAGCATGGCAGGAGAGAGACATTTGGAGAAGTTAAAAGGTTCACAAAGTGAGGAAAGCATGTCAGTATTAGCACAGCAAAGAGAAGACAGTTAGCATGGCTTCTAGGTACCTTCACACACACAGCTTCAATTAAAGAGGAATGCCTGATGCTAAAACACGATAATATTTTTCAGCGCAGCTTTGCAGATACTACAGTAAACCAAATCACACATGAAATACACTTGGTGTAGCTAACACATTCCTACTGCATAATTCGATGGTCTTTTGTTCAACAAGACATTCCCAAACCACAACTCTTCTCTATTAAGCTAACAGTGTGGCTATCTCTATCACCAATTTATGAATTGCAACCTCCCCTGAATTCTTCAATTTATAATGCTTGGGAAAGGAACTTGACTTGACTCTCTATGGTAAAAAAATACTTAAACTTATCAGGATCCTTTTCCATTTTGTATCGTATCCAAGAATGATGGATCCATAGCATTTCATGACTGACTTGTCACTTATGATATTTGCTGTGTAGATGAGTAGAATATGATATGATGAAGGCATGTTAGGTAATGAGCAAGTTACTTTCTGAGACTTAGTTAGGTTTTAGGCCACCCAGCTGTCCACCTACACAGAGACCAGTCATCACAGTCTTCTGCAAACTAGCTACTGCTTCACTTTAGCCACTGTATGGCAACAGGGTTAGTGCGGACTATTGTTAGATGTCCCCACTCTGTCCTACTTCACAGACACTTCTATTATAACTCATTTTCTTTACATGTTTTGAAAACCTATTCTCTTCTATTTTAACTTTCAAAGACTACAGGAGATTATGGGGCCCCAAATTTGGCATGCTACTGAGTCAATAGATCATGGTTCAAAAGAAAAAAAAAAGACATAAGTAAACTAACAGAGACCCAAATGAGCAACTCTGTCCCTTTGATGCTTAGCTTACTGCATTTCCAAAGAGGAGAAGGCCATCTGAAAAAGTGGTTGGACTTCCTTCCTTCTTTCCTTCATCTTTCTCTCTCTCATGTATGTGTACATTTCAGTAGAGGTCAGAAGACAACTTGTGGGGTTATGTTCTCTTTCACTATATGAGTACTGGTGATTACACTCAGGTTGACCAGCTTGGTGGCAAGGGCCTTTTACCTACTGAGTCATCTCATTAAGGCCTCTCATTTCTAAATTTTGTATTTGTGGCTTCAAGCCAGTATGTATTTATTGTAAACTATTGTGGACCACTGTATTGCATAGTAGAATGTGATACTCTATCATACAAATAAAGGTTGAACAAAATAGAGTAAATGACTAAAGGCATGCCTTAAATAAATTACATTCTAATCCAGAATTTAAAGTACCCCATTGCATGTTTTTCAGTTGCTATTTATACTTCTTATTTTACAAATTTAATTAGTTATCTATAATAACATTAGAAAATTTGCCTACCTAAAAGACTATAAATGCATTTCTATACAAATGACAAATAAATTATTTAATACTTTGAGTTTTAAAAAATAATAAATTCAACATATTTTTGAGAAAATGGTAACAAATGTTAATCTGAGTTCTTTATGACACTCAAATGGTTTGCCAGCTTAAATTGGATTAGGTAGAAGCAAAGGCTTTGCTGGGAGATGGTATTTGCTTCAGGACGCTACAAGAAAAACAAGTGTAAGTCACAATCATAGGATTGGCCCTCCCCCATACTCTGGGCTAAATTGTGAACTAGCAAGCTTTGTTCATTTATTGTGGCTCACCTTGGGCTCTTGATGGAGAGGAAGGAGAAGAACTAATGAAAGACTTCGTAAATGTGGAGCTTGATCCTGGGAGGTCTGCCTGGCCCGGGCTGGTCCTGTTCACACTCTGATCCCCCAAACCTCTGGGTGGGCCCACTGCAGGTTCACTCTTCCTCCGTTTCCTAAAATCACCAGCCATGCTTGCAGAACTGACAGAGGGAATCAGTGTCACTTTGATGGGGCTTGGAAGAGGTTAATACATGTGCAAGAAACTAGATAAAGGCTTAACACCTAACCTACTCACAAAGTTGCATGGTGAGAAATTTATTCCTTCACATTTAAAAACTTTCTTTATATTCATTTTTAAAAATATATTTAACTTCATTTTTAAAGGGAAGTTTCAAGTTAAAGAATATCTGACTGGACTGTATAGGCTCTTCATATCTGTAGGTTCAACTGACTGTGCACTGGAAATATTAAGAATTGGATTGCTACTGAACATGTGCAAACTTGTGTTTTTATTCCCCACGTGATCCATTATAATAACCACTTATGTAACATTTACTCATTTTTATTTATGTGTATGAGTGTTTTGCCTGTATATATGTCTGCATACCGTACCAAGTGCCTGGTGCCCATGGAGGACAGATGAAGGCATAGGATCCCCTGGAACTACAGTTACAGATGGTTGCGAACTGTCATGGGGACTGAACCTGGAGTTTCTTCAAGAACAGCAATTGCTCTTATCCACTGAGCCCTTTCTCTAATCCTAACAGCTCTTTTAAATAACATTTGTGTTTCATGAGGCATTGTACATATTTCAGAGTATATAGGAGGCCACAGGTAGGTTATATGTATTTTTTTTCTTTTTGAGGCAGGGTTTCTCTGTATAGCCTTGGCTGTCCTGGAACTCACTTTGTAGGCCAGGCTGGCCTCAAACTCACAGAACAGCCTGCCTCTGCCTCCTCAGTGTTGTGATTGCAGGTGTGCACCACCACTGTCTGACAATATAAATATATTATGCTATTTTAAGACACTTTTGAGTTAGTAAATTTTAGTATCCTTGGTGAGTCTTAGAACCAATCCTCTGCAGAGATCAACAGACAATTGAGCAGAGAGCAATTGTATGTCACTCCTTTCTTCTTGAGCACCTTTCTCTTTACATCTTCTATGGACATGAATAACAGCTAACAGCCCTATCTGCATATGTCATCTCTCAAAATCTATCTTTTATATATAGGGTTCATACTGTCTTTGACATACTTTAGGGGTTTGTAAATGTGTAATGGAAGGCATCCTTGTAGAATACCTTTGCTCCTACCAAAGGTCCCCTGAATACAATTTTCTCAGCTTTCTCTCTGTCTTTATGTTTCCTAAAAACCATTGATCTTGTTTCTATGATCCTCCATCTCCAAATGTTACATGGGATCAGACAATATGTAATCTTTTCAGCTTGGTTTCTTCCATTTATTAATGTGCCTTTTTATTCATGTGCTTTAAAAAAGACATTATTTGTGGGGCTGGAAAGATGACTCAGTTCCAGTACCCACACTTGGCAGATATTTATATATTTTCTCACAACTATTTGTAACTCCAGTTCCATGGGATCTAATAACCTCTTCCTGCATTCACAGACACCTGTATGCACCTGATAAACATATATGCACTCAGGCACACATACATAAAATAAATAATTTAAACATGAAATCCAGGCTGGCTTTGAACTCATTATGTAGCCAAGGATGACTTTGCATTTCTGATTGTCCTGTCTGTACCTACCAAGTGCTGTGCTAAGATTACAGGCCTCTGTCACCATGCTAGTTTTTAATGTGGTGTTGGGGGCTCAACCAAGGGTTTCATGCATCCTTGATGAACATCCTCCCAGCTGCACTATGTCTCCACCTTTTCCCACATCTTTTTATCACTTGATAGGTTATTTCTTGTTATTGATGAATCATATTCTATAATATAAATGGCCCAGAGTTTGTTTACTCACTTACTAACCTAAGAAATAAGATCTTTGTGTACTCTAGGACTTGGAAAAAATGTAAACATCCATATACAGGTTGCACCTCTCTCTCTCTCTCTCTCTCTCTCTCTCTCTCTCTCTCTCTCTCTCTCTCTCTCTCTCTCTCTCTCTCTCTGTGTTGTGTGTTTTCATTTGTAAGTAAAAATTGTCCTGCAGTGAACTTACTGTTCTTGATAATCCAGTGTTACGATTCCTATTTGTTTCATATATATTTTGTTTTATGTATAAAGGAGAATTCTGACAACATGATTCTATCTAGAAGGAAGTGCTAAAATAGAAGAAAGTACCATGTAAACAAAAAGCCACCTAGCAGAAATTCTCTTTTACCTAAAAGATTTTGTTTTGCTTTCTTAATGTGTTCAGAAGAACCTTAGACTGGAATTCCAGTGTTTTCTATTTAAATCATGAGTGATTAAATTTTTTTGATCATAGTTTCAAGTAGGGTACTATTCAAAAAATCATAAATAACTAGATACATGCTATATACTGTCCTCCAAGTCACTGTCATTATGTAAACAATCATGCTAACAATGTGCAATATTAATTGCTATTGAACTACATCTGAATTTTGGTGATAGTTTCAATTAAGTGTGATTTTTAGAACCTGTGGTAGGAGCTTAGGTTGGTCGGCTCTGAGAACAGTTATGACTAGTGGTGACAAGTTAACTTGTTTCAGTCTGTTTTCCCTGTTTCAGTCTGTTACTGAGCTCAAACATTAGTGTCTTCAAAGATAAGTTGGTGACTAGTTTTTAACTAGTGTTGTCAATGGGTTGAGTATGTTTATGGACCTGGGATGCCTTGAGATGGAGTGAAAACATTTATTTGTGTGATCTAAGTATAACAGCAGTAGTTTCTAATTTACAAAATGCTTCTAAAGCAACATCTAGACTTAGTTACTTTCAGCCCTCATTGGAATAAAAAAGGACACAGGAAGCAAGCAAAGGCAGCAGTGGGCAGAACTGAACCCTGTGAAGGATTACCTTGTCAAGTTTTAATAAACTCTTGGATGTGATCATATAAAGTGATATGAAAACATGTAAATCAAACATGAGGTCTGGTATTTAAAATAAGAATGGGAGTTATATGATCTTCATCAGTATTTTATTGGGAATTATTCTTGAGGAAGCAACTGCTGGCATAGAATATTTTGTTAGTGTAATGCCATGAGATCCTTACCTACTGGGTCTTTCCAGGCTTCGGTCAATGGAGGACTGATAGATGGAGGCCTGTTAAGATAAAAAAGGAGTCTCATGAAAAGTTACAACAGCAATTTTCATTTATTTGTCACTATTGAGTTTTGCATTCTAAAAGGGATACTCTTAAGATTTAGAGTCTAAATATGGCAATCAAAAGAATCATTTATTGTGATTACAAAAATGTCTTTCCAAAAGATAACATGTCTTTGAGTTCCCTTACACTGCATTCTGTGATATAACACAACGAAGACATTCATTTTCATCAGGAAGAAGAAGAAGAAAAAACCATAACCAGTAGCATTATCGTGAACACTGAACTAATGAAGGACTAAAGGTATTTTCAGCATTAACTTCAAGCTCTCAAACACTGCTAAGATAAGTAGGTGCTTTCTACATAAAGGACTGGCTTTATTTGCAAGAAAATATTTGCAGCTATCATTAAATCCTTATAAAACATGAAATTCTTTATAATCTCATTGTTATTCCCAGGCATTATCTTGAAAATATAGCATATAAGTGGAACTTGTATGTCTTTGCTCTGTAAACACTCATATTATTTTCATAAAATGCACAGGATTTGATTTAAAATTAACTCAAATTATCTGGGACTTCATCCAGATACAGACTTACAAATCTTGAGCCATTTGAGTTCAAAATTAATTTAAAATAAATGACTGAATCAAGATACACTCCTTTAAATAGTATGCTTTACCCATTTCATTCTGAATACACGCTAAAACCGATACCATACAAAAGCAGTTGTTAGAAAATTTTTATTGTACATGGCTGTTTCTGAGACACTTGCTGAAATATCTACATTACAAGAGAGGGCTGGTATTGAGTTTCTGAGGGGACATTGCAATGTAGAAGCAACTGTATTGTGACATATTACCAAAGAATATACTTTTGGCTTTGGTCATGCTTATTGCTCAATTCATCATCATAGATGAACTTTGGTTTGTTGAAAAATCAAAGGAATATTTTGAAAATGTTTATATGAAGTTCTACAATGGTCAACCATAAAGGCAAGAGTTGATGAGTTTTATCTTAAATTCCTATATAGAGAATTTAAAAATCAGAATATTAAAAACCTACTTAGATGAATGGCTATCTCACTTTGTAAGTGATTCCTACTATTCTTTTTGATTAACTGGTAAATACTATCAGTTTCCCAATTAAACACTAGATTATAACTTTATGAATCATATGTAGATCAGCCTGACAAGCCTCAGACATAAAATTTTGCTTTAATTCCATATTACTGATTGAGAATGGAATCTAACCCATAAGAAAACAAAGGATTTGTTGGCATGAAAACGTTTCTTCCTCATTTTGAACAATAAAAGCATATTTGATATTTGTACTTCTTAGAAAATTCTTACATTCCTATGTCCTCAAGAGATATGAAAGTAGAAAATTGCTCTATCTGACAAATTTACATATTCATTTGAATTTGTCTGAATTGGATACTAGAAAACAAGGGAAACATAGGAAGAAAGAAAATGAGTAAAATAATATTAGATGAAGAAGTTGTGTCAGAGGGCCTCAGAGTATCACTGCTGTGGGTCACGGGTTTTATGGGACAACCTGACTACTAAAAGGGTAAGATTCAGCATTCCCTCAGAATACTCCTAATAAGATAAGCAATATCAACTCCCAGTTATGATAAGCTTGGATAATACTGCAATATGAAATAAAACATGGTATGAGAATTGATAATGTTTGTTTCTGAGTTAGGACAAACTGTGATCACTCTTCACTCTTCCTTGTCCTGTTTCTCATAATCCAAATAAGTTAAAACCAGTTTAAATTTCTTAAACATTTAGTGTGTATGTGTTTGTTTAGAGAGAGAGAGAGTGAGAGAGAGAGAGAGTGTGTGTGTGTGTGTGTGTGTGTGCGTGCGCACGTGCACACCATGGTATGTGTGTGGAGGTCAGAACATGAGAGAGTCAATTCTCTCCTTACACAGTATGGGTTCTGGGATCAAACTCATGTTACAGCGGAGTCATCTTGCTGACCTAAAAACTATACATTGATTTTCTGTATCTTAAGAGTAATTTCAGTGTCAATTATAAGACCGTAAAAATAGATTAATAATTAAGGCAAAATATTTATGACACTCGAGAAGAAAAGAGTCCCAAGAAAAGCACTTGTCCATTTCATCAAACACAATTTGCATCTGACCACTATTTTAACACTTTAACACAATAAAGGTCATTTCAAGGGCAGGCAGACATTAACTCATTCTTTCTGCTAAGAAACTATTGATTAAATTTTGAAAACAAGTTCAACTATTCTTTTTGTTAATTTGAGACAAATTTTTTATGTGTAGGCTTCATTCTGACATTTGCAAACAAATGGTCAACTATATTTGATTTGAAAAATGTCATTTGTAACATATGCTTGTTTTGATCAGTAATAGCTTTGGTATTATCTAACAATTACAGTTTTTACTAGAAATGTCATATAAATGTTATTAGAGGCATAATCAAAATATCTTATGGGAGCAAATGCTCTTACACTCTGAAAAGCCATGTTCTTAAATTAATAACCTAGCTAACTATGCTATTAGAGTCACTCATGTCTCTCAGTCCCTGAAAATAAGAATACACAGCTAAATTTCTATCAAACGGCTTTTTAAATATGTAGTATTTTGGCCACTAACATAATATAAAAGTGCATTAAATTAAATTTTTTCCCAAAATTCAATGATTAAAAAATAGTTTCTAGAAGAGCCAAGCTTTAAATACATCCATCAGGGATGGTAAAAGTATGGTATAAAGGAAATAATTTTGAAATGAAGGCTGAGCAATTAGTGATTTATTCTCTTGGCAGCCATCTTAGTAGGTGACTATAGATATATTCCTTAAAGTTGTTCCCTTCCATCTTTCTTAACTAGAAATCCAATGAGTTGAATATGATGTTTTCTAAGTTCTCTTTCAAAATCAATGAGTCAACAACTTTGAAAAAAGTTCCAGAAATATCTGACCCAAATACCCGAAAAATATTTACAAAATGTTGTTTCACTTATCTAAACATATCAGTATAACACTGAACTAAAAATAAAATGGAGCCAGGTGGTAGTGGTACACACCTTTGATCCCAGCCCTTGGGAAGCAGGGAGGCTGGTGGATCCCTGAGTTCGAGATCAGCCTGGTCTACAGAGAGAGTTGCAGGACAGCCAGGGCTGCAAAGAGAAACCCTATCTCAAAAAAAGGTAGCCATATATGATAAATATATCCCTCCTCCCAAATGGATTATAAATCCGACCAAAGTCAATCAACACAGTAACATAGTTTTGATGTGGAGAATACAAAAAAAATATTTGATTGAATGAATTTCAAAATAAACTCTTAGGTTGTCCATATACTGCAATGATAAAACATACAGAATAAAATTATTTGTTTTATTTAATTCTCTTTAGAGAGCAGGCTCATCTACAAAATATAAGTCTTGAAAAAATGCTGAATTCCACACCTCAAAAAGTTTCTGATTTCTAGATTTTACTTTTTATTTGATAAAAATCTTTCAGTATTTTCCCTGTTTTAACACACACCATGGTTATTGGATGACTGCGGTCTGTCATCCCCATGTGTCGGGACACTTGCATCCTCAGCCTGAGTTCTTGGCTGGTACCTTGCACATAGCTTGAATGACGGCCTTACAATGAAAGTAAGATATTCAGTGCTGCATCCACTTAAGAATTCACAGCAACTGCTGTGACAAAATCAGTTGACTGTGTGCTTCTCTCCTGCCTGGCTTCTTTGGAGTGTGCCCACAGGAGGCTTTTATCTGCCTCGTAGTTAACACAGCAATGACATATCTATTGTGTCTTCTAAGTGCTTCTCAAAATAACATTCTGGTTTCTTTGTAGAGAGGGCCAAGTTTGGCTTAGAATCCTTTCTGTTCCTTTTCATATTGTCTTTTTCTTATCCAGGTTAAAATTTACGTGACCTGACATAAATTCTTCACCTAGATACTTGGCTGATATTTCATAAGCATTATTTTTTTTAAAAAAAATGTTTACTTAGTTTTAGTTCATGTGTGTTTTGCCTGCATGCATGCCTGTGAACTATGTGTATGACTGGTGCTGGTGGAAGCCAGAAGATGGAGTTACAAATGGAGTTATGGATGGTTGTGAGCTGCCCTGTAGGTGAGGGAACCAGTAAGTCATCTTTCCAGCTTCACCCATAAGCTTTTGTCAGCAGAGTTCAACTGAGTCTTATTGCACATAGCAGTGACTATCTGTTGTAGTGGCTGCCTGAATTATAATACCAAGAGTTAGTGATGCCTGTCAAAGCTGTGGAACTGGGAAACTGGAATACCCATGCCAGGTATTCATCCTCTCTATTCTTGACTGATAGTAAGGTTCACAAGTTACAAGCATTTAGTGAAACAAAAGATTAATAAAATTTATAAAAATATAAGGAATAAGTATCTGATTGTGTAAGAATCAAAACTATTTAAAAAAAAAACATGTTATTCTGTCTGTGTGGGTGTGGCATGCTTGCCACAGTATGTAAGGGCATGCTCTCTTCATGCACAGTGGGTGGGTTCTAGGGTAGAAGTCAGGTCATTAGGTTGTTACAGCAAATACTTTTACCTAATAAGCCATTTCCATGGCCCAAGAACCTCCACTCTTGAGTCTGCACCTGTAAGTCTTCTACAAGACTTTCTCAGCACCTTTCTCAGTTTATGGAAATGGGCAGTCAATACTCGCTCAGGTTCAAGAGTTGGGTCTTTCATGCTACTGAATATTTTAACTGGAAGTAACAGTTGGAAAAATCCATCACCTGGAATTCAGAAACAGCCAACCCCTTTGCACTGTCTAGATAATGGTACTACGTGCAACACAGTGATACAAAGAGTTTTCAAAACCAGCTCGAACAACACAGGAACTATTAAAAACATTCACGTTCAGACTGACAGTAACTGAGGGGGAAATCTGGAAGGAGAGAAGAATTTGTCTTTACCTCATTGGAAACACCGGAAGAATGATCTTGAACATAGTCCAGAGCCTTTTTAGGAGGCTGGGGGTAGATACACCACATAAGCAGAGGTGGAGAGATGGGATGGATGGAGGAGAGTCAATGGCAGCGAGGAATGACCATGTGGAAAAGGTGACAACAGTTAGAAACCGAGTGCTGATAGCATGGCACACACATAAAGAGTGACATGGATGGGAGCAAAATGACAGCCTAGGAGGAAGAGTGCGATGCTTGTAAATATTCCCAAGCACTGTGAAAAGCCGCTTGTGTTCAATTAGTAGATTTGTAAGCTTAATTCATCAAATCTAAGTGAACACTCTTGGTCTTTGGCCACGGCAGATTGCAAGGCTTAATTAAGGAGACATCAGAGGAGTAAGTGAGAACATGCAGGTGGGTGTCCTTGTGTGGCTGAGGAGGGCTGCAGAAAGTGATGGTAATTTGGGCTCAACACAGAAATCAGTATAGTCTCTAGAAACTCCCCCCATAATAGTAAATACGTAAAGCAAAACAAGAGAGTATTTTCCCAATGAAATAAAATACATTTTAATAGGAGGAGACACCACAAAAAATAGGAAGAAACAATCCTCTTATTAGGTAATAGAAATGCCAGCATTTTTTGTTTTATATTCATTTATAGTCATGTTTGATTTAGTTCAATAGAACATACAATGAAGCTACTTAAGATTTTACATTTTAATGCATAGGAAGGGCTCTAACAGCCATCCAGTAAGGAATATGTGATCGTCATATTTATAAATCCTTATGTGCCATGGAGAAAGAACAGATTCTGAGTTCTTATAAAATTGCTGGGCAGTGTAAATGACATGCTGTTCAACAGTTTAAAGATGGCATGTTCCAGAAAACATGAAATCCACAAAAAATTCCTCAATAGAGAATCAATGATTAAAGGAAGTTGTATGAAACCCGAGTTGACCCTGTCCTAAACAGATCAATCAGACCCCATGAGGGCCAAACTGTGGGCTTTCAACATGGGAATCTGGCAATCAGAGATCTGCTGGTGGCTCATGAGCAAAACTATAAATCAAGGTCCACAGGGCTTTTTAATTCTTTCCCTTTGTTACATCTCTTCTATTCAAAGAATCATTTTTATAGTGGGAATATTTATAGTGGGGATATTCTGGCAAACCTTTATAGTGGGAACTGCCCAAAGATTTTTATTGTTGTATGGAAAGCCTAGATTTAACTTCTATTTTGGGCAAATTCCTTGACCTTTTTGGTCCATTTTCTTAATTATTGGAGTTGCATCAAGTCATCGGCTTGGCAAGTCTTTCTTGGTGATGGCAAGGTACTTGTTACTGTTAAACTAGACCCAAATGCGCTGTACACAATCCAGCTTTCCCCTAAACCAACTCAACATGATAGATATGCAATGAATTAGATGTGATTCTAGTGCACGATTAGGAGAAAACATATGGGAAGCAAATGAACACATTTAGGCATTTGGTACAAGAGCGAATTTGCACAAAGCCGGAGCACACAGGCATTTTATTCATCCAGCTTTTGCTCTTGACACGACTCATCTCCCGCCTGACATGATTATGATTTAGAAATCAAACAACATCCTCCTATTTGTCTTATAGTAATTGTCTAGCCTCACTTACCGGACGTCCAAATTCCAGTTCTGAAAAGAATTTATACCAGGGCTCATTTTCTAAATCTATGTCATCTGGATTTATGCGACCAGTCTAGAGCAGATGTGAAGGAAAAGGGAAGGAAAAGGCACACTGAGCGAGGTGAGGGAAAATGCCGTGTGGTATGAAAACACGCGCGCATCCACACGCAAACATGCATCGACTCATCCAACAAACCACAGCAGGACAGAATGGAGAAAGTCAGGTACAATGAGCAAAATGAGGATATGAAAATGAGGGCATCTGTGGCGTCGTTGGGGTCTCTATTGCCACCATCGCTAATTTTTAGCCTGATGCATGAACTAGGGGAAGTATCCTGGTAGTGACAATGGGGAAGGGTGGCACGCCAGAATGGGAAGATAGGTCTGAACGAGGTGCCAAGGGGCTCTCCTGGATTGGTCAGTCTGCTGTCCCTGAAGTTACTGGCAACTCTCAGCGGCAGCAGCGGTCTGCAGTGTGCAGACATTGCAGAAGGGGAGGGCTCGGAGCATGGAATGGTGGAAATGAGTGAGCCTGGGAGAAAGGTCCGGGTCTAGGAGCAGGAAGAACCCCCAGCAGAGACAGGAGCTGACCAAGTCTTAGCCTAGGAACAAAGGCTGAGCTCTGCTTCCCCACGGCATGAGAGGAGGTGAAGAAGGAAGGAGCTCACCCGGGTGGGAGAGAGAGCTGGGGTGCTCGGACTCTGACGGGGTGCAGGGACACAGCTCCGGGGTGGAGGGGAAGGACTACGCAGGCCATCTGTTGAGGGTGACACTGAGAGAGGCTTCCGGCTGGGTTCCTTGGGAACAGGTGTTGGAGTTGTTGGGAGAGGGGGCTGTAAGAGAGAGGGGTGAGGAAACACTGCTTCGTTAGACAGGAACCTGGAGGACACCAGCTGCCATTGGTCATGGAGACTAACAATTTCAGGAAGGGGCAATAGCTGGGCTAACCATGAAGGCCCAATTCCTTAAAAAATGGCCCACCACAGCAAAGATCTCAAGGGCACAAGTTTCTTCAAAATTGAAGAAATATATAATTTTGTGATTCAATCTCCTCTTGCTGACTTGGAGCTAAAGGAGGATGTAGGTGGAATCAGAGTTTTCACAGTAGGCAGGGGAGGGGAGGGGGGTATGGAGTATAATTGACTTGCATCTCAGGTAGTTTGTGAATGTTGTGTTTAAGACAGAAATGCTAGGGATTCAAACATAAACAGTTGAGAAAAACAAATACAATTACTTTAGCGATAGAACACAGACATTCAGCCCTTCCTTAGCCCATAATAGCCATAATATCTTTTTACAATACATACCCGGCTAGAGGGTGTCGTGCTGGTTGCTTTTCTATAAAAATGATGCTTGGAGTACCATATATGTGCATAGCTACTTCTTTGATATATCTCATGGCTCTAATTAAATGTGTATTTTTACAATATACTAAGAAAAGTTATTTGGGTCCTTAAAAGCTACTTGTTCCAGCCAAGAGAAAAGCTCTGATGCCCACACTACGGTCCAGGAGGTATGCTGAACACCCACTATCCAATCCCATATTATTCTCTTAGAATTCTTATGGATCTCAAAGATTCACACTGAGTAGCTCTATAACCCTACAATGCGACAGGCATTGAAATATTCCAAATTTCAAAAAGGGCCACTATTTTGTCATGAGCTTATTGTAGTGTTTCATTGTTATAACATTTATAATGGTTTTATTAGCACCACTTGGCCCATAGTGAATGAGACATTATTCCCATGACATTTTCAGTGATATAGTTTTATTTTAATATTTTTATGGTAGAAGATGGCGGTATTATAGTAACTACACACAATTATAGAAAAAATAGAGGCCTGATAGCAAAATAGTGCAGATGTCAAGCTTATTGTATGTAGGGTAATGATGACAAAGACTGCAGAGGAAGCCTGAGATATGCTTGGGGCAGATGCTGAGCGAATAACACTCTTGTATGGTGGTTGATGGCACTCCAAAGTGGGTGTCTGGATGCACACATAAAGGAATACATGTGCACACAAAATACTACATTATTGGTCAAGAATTGAAACTGTCCTTTTTAATATTGTTTTACTTTTGGTTATGAGGTTATTTTTTTTTACCATAAATAACAATTAAGCTATGCTATTAGAACAAGAACATGCTGTAGAAACTCTTGAGGTATTTGCCCCAATTTATGTCAGTATTACTTTTGATTTCCACTTTAAACTTAACAGTGCAGTCTGTAGAAAGGACAACTTCCAGTAACCTATTCCCATTGATTAAAAAAGAAGAGAGTTTACAGTAACTGTTTTCCATTGAATTAAAATTTTTGATCCAATAGCTATGGGTGTTAAGATTTTGTTTAGCGGTAAAGAGTTATTTTCTCCTATTATTTAGATGATATCAGCTGCAGTGTGTAATTACTTCATGGCGTAACTTTGCTGGAGACTTTATCTTTGAATGGTTAACATTAGAGAGAATATACCAGTAACTTTGTGCTATTTGGAGGGATGTATCATTTTCTTCATGGGAAAGAGACCTCTGGTCTCCCAAGCCCTGTAGTTCCTGGTGCTGCACACTTAGTGACTATGAGCTCTTAATTTTAAAACCTCGATATTTTCAGTTACAGTGCTGTGTTTTGCTAAGGGAAGCTAGAAACTCTGGACGGGGAAAAAAGCTTCAAAACCCAATGAACAGTAGGGGGCAGCAAATCTACTAAACAAATAGGAAAACAAGCATTTTAGCTTCACTCAAGTTGGACTTAAAGAAAATCTGTAACAAATGCATAGACTACATTCTCCTTTGTAGAGATACATTTCTATAATAGAATCCAGGGAAAGGGAGCCTATATCCATCATTGTGCTACAAACCTTAAAATAGCAATTTCCCATTATTAAATATGTATTTATAATGCTACATATCTATAAATTATTTTTTAATTCCACTGTTTAACAAAGCTTAAGTCTACAGTCACATTGAGCAGCTTGCTAGAATCTAAGCAAACAGTGACAAGTAATCCTCCGTAATTCTGGGACGCAGTGAGTGGTATACATTTGAGTAGAGCCTTTGTTTTACAGGCTGGGTGTGGTGGCACACACTTGAAATTGCAGGCACTCAGGAGGCAGGGGCAAGAGGGTGATAGGTTTGAAATTAGTCTGGGCTACATAGCTAGACCTTGTTTCAAAAGAACATAAAATCACCCTCAGCAAATAGGCTCCCCAATTTCCCACCCCCCCAAAAAAAAAGGACATGGCAGACCTAGAACTGTCTCTTTGCTGTGGTTGATCGATTGACTTCCTTTAGTTATAATCAAATGTGTCCTGTGGCAATCTGGAGCTACTGCTAAAGAACACAGAAACACTATGATGGTTACTAACACATATTCAGGCAGTCAGATAACTGAAGCACATGCATAATAACAACGTCACTGCTTCATCCTTTCCCTCACATCAGGGAAATTCCTCTTTGTCCCCTGTGAGTGTGAACACTTAGGAATGCACTAGATGACAGTTACCTCCCAATGTAATTCTCACATTGGCAGAAGACAGCTGATGGCTCACACCGGCAAAAAGAGTTGATGGACCTCCTGTTTTATTTCAGGCCATTTTACAAACTTAGCAACCTTCTGCTTAATAAGAACCTTATCTCTGGTGTGAGACGAAGTGCTTCAGATGCGCTAAAACCAGAGCTTATGTGTGATTGTCCTTAAAAGGCTCCCTAGAATGGATAATTTTTAAAGTTTCCCCAACCCAACTTAAAAGGCTTTAGATGCTTTTGAGGTCAGAGAGCCTCTCTACCTTTTAGTCTTCTCACTGAGCACACATTCTCTGTTATCCTAAACACACTGGAGAATCCAGGAGTTTGTTCTCGTAAATGCTCAGTGGCTTTTAAGCTTCAAGGCATGGGTTGCTATGCTTTCTATTTATTTTGCTTTTATAGCAAATACTATTACATAATGGGATAATTCTTCATGGGTCAAACCATCAGATAAAACTTCTCCAAATTTTATGCTTTAATTCTTGGAGTAATAATTTTTGTTGATACATCGTGTCCACTGGTCATTTACATTGCATTTCACCTCATCCAACTGTGTGTTCTTTTCTGCTATTGTAAGAAAGGTAACAATGTCTTTGTGGATTTTTTTATTTTATTAAGCAGAAGAACAATTAACATGGCTTATCTACAAGTGTATCCAATTCAGATGATCTGTAATGCTTTCATTAATATTATCCTAATAGAGTTGCTATGATTGTCATATGGAGACTGTATACTAGAAATGTAGTTTAATCTGTAGATCAGATCAGTTAAAGACAAACTTATGTGGATTGTAAGGCCTTTTTCAAGGATCAGAATTAGGCCCATTTAGTTTGAATTTATAATCAAACATTTAATTATTTATTGAATTTATGAGCTTCAAAGAAATGCATTTACTTTTTTGCCTTCCTGTTAAAGCATTTTAATTGATAGATTTGCCCTCAATTCCTAAGGATGAATGCAATCTTTTATTGTCAGGGCTTGACATGGTGCTCCCTTTGCTTCTTTCAGACCTCAAGGAATCATGGAAGCTGAGCTAGAGATATTGATGAATTCCATCTGTGTCTTGATAGAGACTTGCTGGGCCTTGTGGATAGATTCAATCTCTCACCAGTTTTATCCACCTACTGTAAAGGTAACCAGTTTACATTTACTTAATGATTCAAGGAGTTATTTATTGCAGAGGTACCACATGCTGGGGCATTGGGTTAGGTATGTAGGACAGATAAATGCTGTTCCAGGTAAGGTGCCTGCTTTCAAGGAACCTAAAGCGTATAGTGAGGAGCCCAGACAAGTGAACAGGCATATGGTAAGGATGTCAAAGTGGGATATCCTGTATGTATCCAGCAAGGAGAGCTACAAACCCACTGTGGAGAGTGAACAAGCCCCTAAAGAAAGTATACCTCTGATAAACTTGTGTGTGTGTGTGTGTGTGTGTGTGTGTGTGTGTGTGTGTGTGTGTGTGTGCCCACAAGAATAAAAGAGAGGTGATGAGAGGAAGAAAGAACAGACCATGTCAAGGTCTGATGAGAGGGGGCTGAAAGCTCTTTGGCAGGGAGTGAAACCACAGGATTTTGGTAGGTTTTATTTGTTGTTCTTTAGTTTCTTAAAAATTATATTAATAGTTAGATTTTGCTCTAGGGACAAGAGAGTGTCAGGAGAAAATTTGGGACTGACAGGCTTCTTAACAACTATCTGGAGACTGGATTCACTAATCAGGGAATAGATATGTCGTGGTAATGCAGACAGCAGACAATTGTGGCCTAGAAGGGATACTTGGCCATGGCACTTCTCCCTATGAGTAGGAATGTAAGTTCATAGACAGTGAGGGGGATCCAAGAAAATAGGGATGCTGACAGGGTTCTCCAGGATTTGAAGAAAACCACACACAATTGCCTAGCTGTTCATATAATTTTTCAAAAGTTAGAACTGAAAAGAACAAAGGGATGTTCTCAAAATATCTGAGTGAAAAGATAGAAGATGTATTCATAAGACCTTGAAATCATTTGAGGTTATTATGTCACTCTTACCTAGCAAGTCCACTCTCTTTCCTACAGCCTGAGCCTTCAGGACACTTTGCTGGTTTTTCAAACACCCTTGACCAATTTACCCTTTGGAGTTTTTTTTTTTTCTGGAAATTAAAGTGGGATGAATTCAGGTTGATTTTTTTAAAAAGCAATAATCTCACCTGATAAAAAAGATAATTTAACAAGGCTTGCCAAATTCTGTCTTTGGCTCTCTCATATCATTTGTCACAACACTGGCTTCAAACAAAATGTTTTAGGAGGGATAAAAATGTAAGCCTTCCATTCTTATTTCCTTCAACACTACTACTTCCTTCCACTATCTTTTCCTGTGGCTGAAGAGATTTACCCATAACAGAATCTCAGGTCATACCCATGGGTCCTGACCTCCCCATCTCCTAAGACCTGTTAGAATATTGGGCTTGCACTATAGTTACTCTGAGCCCAGCTTTCCCATAAAGTAAGTACCACTAACTTATTATAAGTTAGCCACTAATTATACTATACTCCAAAACAATCAAATTATGGTGATGGTGACTAGTAGCTGATGGTTTCCTGCTCATAGGACCCAATACAGTAGTCATGAAGTACACCAAGCAAAAGTTTGCGTAGGCTGAACTGATTCTAGAACACACCAGCTATGTGGCCATGTGGCATTCAGTTAATGCTGCTTCAGTCTCTTGATTTGTAAAATAGGAAGTTTGTGCATCTGCTTTATAGGGTTGTTGGGAACATTACATAAGATAAAGGAACTATTACTAATTCTAGATCCTAGCATTTAGTAGGTACCCACTTAAAGATGCTGTTATTTCTATCACTGTTGTTGGTACTTTAAAATAAAGAGCCTTTGAAGCTCTCAGTCATAGTGAGGGGACCCCATAAGTGAGCTCTAATGGGGAGAATTCTTTAGCTATGCTTTCATTTTAGCCAATAAAAGGTTTCTTATCTTAAGTCATATCATCACCCCAAGAGCCTCATAAATCATTAAAGCTTCTCTATTATAATTTAACATGAGATTCTTATTTTGTGGTTTTCTTTTTCAGAATTAATATTGTATTCCATTGCATGGAATTTCACTGCCATGCTATTTAATAAGACAACTTAGCAAATGGGTTATAGTCCAGAGCCTAGAATCAATGATGTTCCCACCTTTTCAGTTTCTCTGTTGCTATCTTACCATGCAAAGAATTTTGAATTGCTTGAAGAAAGGCAGTTGAATTATATGATTGGAAGATTTTTGGACATACTTCTCAAGAACACAACCAGGAACACAGGGTTTTAAACTCTTAAATCAAGGACACTCAGGTTGGGTGAGGTCACAGGGTATCCAACTAAATCTTGGGGTTGCCCTTGCAATCTAGGTACTAGGGTGATGCTCTGTTGGAGGAACACACAAAGAAAACACCAAGAGGGTTTATTTGGAAGTAAGTTGGGACATATAGAGGAATTGCTGAGTTTTAAAGAGATCTTGAGGGCACTGATCTCTGGGGGAGGAACAAGGGAAGCCTAAATGATGGGTGAGAGGACTCAAAGAGAAGAGGACCACAGAAGAAGCTGCTGCTACCTTTATTGGAGGCCAGTGGCCTTTTTCAAGTTCATACGTCATTTAGAGTATGAACAAAATGAACAAAATGACTATAAAGAGAAATACGATGTTGATCCATTAAAGTGGTACCCAATCAGGAAGCTTGAGGCTTGGTAGCCTGAGAGGGATTTAATAAACACCAATTAAACAACTTGTTATAGAAAGTGTGGTTTGGGAAATTTTCCTCTTAAATGAAAGAAATAATAAGAAACCAGCCGGGCGTTGGTGGTGCACACCTTTAATCCTAGCACTCGGGAGGCAGAGGTAGGTGGATCTCTGAGTTCGAAGCCAGCCTGGTCTCTAGAACAAGTGCCAGGATAAGCTCCAAAGCTACACAGAGAAACCCTGTCTCGGAAAAACCAATAAATAAATAAATAAATAAATAAATAAATAAATAAATAAATAAGAAAGAAAGAAACCAACATAGAAGCCAAGGGATTCATCTGCCTAGCTCTATACATCAGGGATATGGATTCATGGTTTTTCTCACTGGCAAGCTAGAATAACAATTGAGTGTTTCGTGTGTAAGTGCTGTGATTAGGCACAGTTAGCTATAGGCCAATGATAATGAGTCCTACATATATATGCTACTAAAGCACCTCTTTCAATTCAGAGATAAGATGCAGAACTCATGATTAAAAACAAGTACAATTCCTCAATAATAAATGGAATGGGATGAAATTCAGGTTTTCTTGGGAACCCTGGAGGCCTAGCAAGCTGCTTTTTGATCATTGACAAGTGCTTACGGGTCTTTCATGCTGCAGAATGGATGACTTCCCCGGCTCGTATTCAAAAATACTCCTTGGTTCTGATCGAAATTTTCTGGTGTCCACCTTTCTGTCTGGAGGGTCCCAGTCATGCCTACAAGTGAACAGCAAACCACATGTTGAAACAATTTCTGTGCATAAAGCACCCATGACATACTACCCACAATCGATTCACAAGGTTAATTTTAGCAGAATTTATTTATTGACTGTGAATGTGTGTATGTATGTAAATGTGAGCATGTTTGTGCATGCACACAGAAGAAAAACTTTTGGGAGTCAGTGCTTTCCTTCCATCATGAGTTCTGGGGATCAACATAGATTTTCAGGTTTAAGCAGAAAGCAATTTTTCTTGCTGAGCCATGTCTCCTACCCCGAGAGAGTAAAGCAAACAAACCAAAACAAAACCCACACAATCAAAAACATCTCTCTGGCCAAAAATGGTTTCACTTTAATAAATCTGTTTAATAAATAAATGACTTACATTAAACTATCCCAATCATTTTTCCTTCTGCTTTCTTTTTTAACCTGTGTAGCTATGGCTGTAAAAACTCACAGAAGAGGTTTGTAGACACACGGATAGTGGTTTATTGCTAGACCCTTGGGTCCCTAATGACAGTTGTATATGTCTGAGTTTAAACTAAGTGACAGTGTGCTCCATGGAGCTTTGCCAATCTAACTACCAGGGGACCTGGCTTCCTAGATCCAGAGGGACATGGACTAGTGGAAATACCATATTTGATCTTAGTCCTTGTAAATGGCATCTGAGTACATGTGTGAGAGTTACAACTGCATCACTTGGGCTGTCATGCACAGAGACAAGCAGAGTGAGGTGGAACACCCCTTGGTATGAGTCTTGCAAACACTCAAGGCCAACATCTTTCCCCCCTGGGATCTGATCTTTTCCTTGCCTTGATACCTTCAAGAGTCTGTCAAGGGCTCTAGGTAAGCACATTTTTACAGAAGGACTCAGCACATCAAGATTTTTCTGGGCAGCTAGAACTAAGTCAGAAAACTTCCTTTGGAGAGCAGGAAGGGTTATTAAATACATATTTTTACTTATATTTGAGAAAAAGAAGTTTTTGATCTTTTGAGTTAGGAAATTCTGCCTCCTAATGGAAATGGGATGAAATTCTTTCTCCACAGAATGGTGGACACAGAAGTTCTCTAAGAGAAAATGAGAACCAAGTCGTAGGTATAGAGGTAATCAACAAGCTCTATCCAGCAGGGCCCTACACCTTCCATTTCACTTTTCTTCTCTGTGTGAAACTGGGTCCTGTTTGCTGTTTGAGCAATAACTAAGACAATATGTCATAGAAAATATGTGAAAGCCCAGGATATAAAAACCAGTAACCATAAACACCCTTTCCATTACTACTTATTAATTACCAGTAGAAGTAGCATAGGATTTGTCTTTAGGGGAAGTCGAGGTTGAATCTTGGCTTGGAGTCTCTATCTATACAAATAGAGCAACTTATTGCAATGTTGAAGCTGTTTCTTTCCCTGTAATGTAGATCATGTCCCATTGGGTTGTTATCAGAATAAAATGATGTAGTGTAAGGAAAGTGCTTAGCCCAGCGCTTGCCTCATAATCAGCTGTCGGTAAAGGTTACCAAGAACGAGGACCATTAGCTACAGTCCTACTAACGTAACACAATTGAAATGTGTTCATAAAAATTTCTTTGGGTATCAATAGGTTATTTAAAAATATTTTAGTGGAGAAATAAAAATTAGAATCAACTAAAATAAGTGGCAGAAATGAGTCACAGACACTTGTTAAAAATGCCTTATTTACGATTTAAGAATAATTTCCCTTGGTTTCTAAAAGACCTGAAATTTGAAATTGGTGAAAATGAAAAACTAACTGCTTAGTCTCTCTCGAATGTGGGACAGCAAAGGGAATCCATGCCAACTATTTCCAGTTATTTTATTTAATTTTACATGTCTCTTTATATTGAGGCATAATGCTACTGTGTAGCCCAGTTCAGGATTGGAAGTTATGCAGCTCAGAGTGGCCTTGAATTCTTATTTCTACAAAGACTGAGATTACATGAATGACGTACCACACTCTACCCCATTTCAGCTCATAACTAGAACTAGACCCGGAGTCCAGGGTATGTGGAGCTACCATCAAGCCACATCTCCAAGGACCACAATATTGTGTGTGTCTCTGTGTGTGTACATGTGTGTGTACATGTTTTATTGTTTGTAGTACTCAGACAAATGCTCTACTTAAGAACTATGTCAGTGGCCTTTTTATTTCCTATTTGTACTTATTGAACAAAAAAATAGTTTGTGTCCCTGATACATAAAGTTTAATTGTGAGCCTTATGAGAGCGTGACCAAGGCTTCCCGGACAGCGTTCAGCATGATCTCAATAGTGATATCCCCTATGGACTAATACAATATGTCTTTGCATATATTCACTCCACAGCACTGGGTGGATTCTTCACTGAGAACCACTATGGGTTGGTTTTTATCCTATGAGAAGCCTTGTGCGGGGCAGGAACCTTACTTTTCTGTTGAAGATTGATCTCTTGGTCGTGGCGGGACATGTGGGGGAGGCACTGGGGAGGGCACCTCCTTAAAAGCATCTGTGCCATTGTCTGAGTGGCTTTTGGAAAGAGGTCTGTAGGTCTGGGTCTTCACAGCAGGGTGTGACTGAGCACTGTAGGGCGAGTTGTACAGACCTACCATGAAAAAGAGAAAACCAACAACACAAGCAAAAGGTTAAAAGGTGCATTAAGTTGTTGGGCTCTGCAAAATAGCCCATGGTTTTTCAAAAATTATCAATAAACATATTCATAATATGTGCATTAGGTGGTACATTGTTTATTAACTTATCAACATTGATTTTTGAATTATCACTTATTAAATGCCCATTTGTTTTGCACATAAGTACTGATTATAGTAGATATCCACTATTGTAGAATTAATGAAAATTCAGTCTATTTAGTGAAAAAAAAAAACTTACAGGTGCTCAGCAAGGTTTCTTCCCAATCATAGAAACTAATGCCTTCGGTAAACTTTCAGAGGCAGATTAAAATAGCAGCTAATACCTTGTAATACTGATGTACATAAGGCAGTTGATATGTTAATTGCAGTCCAACAAATATAGAACATGCTGTATTTTTGAGATGCAGCTCCCACATGGGACAGGGGAGTGTGAACCCTCCTGAACAAGCTGAGACAAGAAGACATGTGATTGAAAAGTGTTTGGGGCAGTTAATAAAATTTAATGGAGAAAGACATAGTAAAAATTGCAGGTTATTTGAAGATGATGAGTGAGACAGAAAATCTATTATAGATCTTAGGGGGCTAGAATTGGGCTTGAAGGATTAGTTTTGGTGAGTAGAAAAGAGTGGCAAGAATGGCATGCAAGACACAAAGCCATGGCTTATTAGAAAGTAGAGGGTGGTTATAGGTGTTCTGTTGACTGATTGAATGATGAAACTCCCCGGGCTTACAGGGTAGCATAACTGAACTTCAGCTTATTAATTACCAGTGAGACATTTTAATATTTAAAAATTATAGAAATTCCTAGTCTCTGAGTCTCAATCTTGGCCTAAGTCTATCTGTGCTTGACTACTTCTCTTATGGGTCTGCACGTGTTTGTTTCTGTGAGAAGTGCCATTAGACAGCACTTGCTCTGAAGTGCTTCTGAGGCAACTCCAGTCAGACTTGAACTTGTGAGGTGAACCAAGGAGGTGAGTTTGGTGTACCAGGACAAGGTCAGAGTATATATTTTAGTGGACTTCTGAAATAATATGGGGATACACAGTCTAACTCACAGGTCACCAGCTTGATTTTTTTAAAAACCATTTTCTTTTTCATTTATCTTTGGAGTTGAGCAGCAAAACCACCGAGTTAAAGGACTGGTTGCTGGTCATTAGGTTTTAGGGAGAAGAGAATGAATCTCATAGAGTTTTCTTTGAGGGTGACAAGAGGACCCTAAATGAGGGCACAGTGGCTAGGTTGGGTAGAATCCCCTGATGTGATACTTAGAAAAAACTGAAGAAAGGGACCATATTTTAGGGATCTCTCACATGAACATGAAGACCACTCCACAAGAAACGAGCACATTCAAGTTTCAAGTGGAATGTCCAGAGCTGAAGTCTTTCCATTGTGAGCACTGGCATCTCTGAGTCAGAAAAGTGGCCCAGCCAAGAGGGAGGCTTTCACATCTTTCAATGAATGGTTCCATTTTTGGAGCAAAAGCCTGGACATGGTCGTAAAACACGTTGCTTGACTTGTTTTGGGGGAATAATATCTGAGAGGTCTTATGCAATTATAATCACCCTTTCTGCCGATAAAAAGATCTTTATTTTGTTGTGTAACCAGGTCACAGTCTGTTCTTTTGCCCTGTCCCCTGACGCTGTGGTTAAACATTCCTGAAGCTTTGAACAAACCAACAGGGGGTGGGGGGTGGCTGATGCAGAACAGTGTTAGTTCCCATTTCCAGGAGAAAGGACCCATCTTTTGTTAGGCATGCTCTGAGAAAGGAAGTAGGCCACCCTCCTCATCACAGGAACTGACAGCATGGCATGGGGGTGGTATGATGAAGGGCTGGGGCTCTTCCCCGTGGTGGCGTGTGACTAGTCATTGCAAGCCAGGAAAGCCATCCTACCTGCGTTGTATGTGTAAGGAGTATTATACATGTCTGTATCCTCATCTAGAAAATGAAACATAAACATGATAATCCAGATTCTGCCACCTTGTCACCAAGACAGAAGAAGGTCAGAGAAATGACAGAAACACAACAGCAAAAATCAATGTACTTTTTTTCCCCTTAGCATATAATAGAACTTTGTATTTCTAAATGTTGCACTCTGGGGCTCTGAAGAGTGACCATCTTGTCTATAAAGCAAGGGACCTTTCTGACCTGGTCAGACATGCAAAATTGGTCCCTTGTCCCCACTTCCCTAGGCAGATTCTGTGTCCGCTGTATCAGAAAGTGCTTTTTAAGGTCTCTTGTTAACTATACTGAGTGGGGATCAAGAGAAGCCACTACACACTCTTGTGGTAGGAAGCACACATGGGCAGATAGGAGTAGTAGTGGGTCTGGAAGTATGCAATAATATCTCAGTGTGGATGTAGACAGAGATGCATAGAGGGCTGAGGCTAGAACATCTGGTAAGCTCCAAGGATGCCTCTTAGGAGGCTTCTTGATAGGTCATCATTAAGGTAGAGGCACACATTTGTGATTTAGGGTTAAAGGGAGAATAGGAGACATGCCAAAAAGAAGGGACCATCAACTTTGCTGAGGTCTTGATGTTTTGGGGGTGAAGAAAGTCTATACAAAAGTTGAGTATATATCCTTCAACCCATAAGCACTTGATGAAACAAGATAAAACAAAACACACAAGAACATACATACCTGGCTTGTGTACCATGTGAATTTGCTTAAACATTGTCTTGTACCAGTCCTTTGGCCGATCAACTGTCTGTCAAAGAGAACATCCAAGAATCACCAACCCTATCTATTAGGTTTGGGCTTAAGGCTGCTCATGCCATGATGCACCTGTTGCAGTCTCTCTGTCAAGTCATGATTCACCTGCTGCAGTCCCCCACCCCACACAGCTGATGTAAAATAAATGGGAGACATCCTACTGTGACTGTGAGTCTTTAATCCTCACTTTCCCCCAAAGCAGTTTACCTAAAACCCTAAGTAATCAGGGGCTATAGGTGGCACATTCTGAATGACAGACTCACATCACCAAAGGTTCGAATCTTTCCCCCTTCCCCTGCTATCGAGTGTCTGAGACAACTTGACTCCAAGAACGTGCTATAGGTTACTCATCAGCTGTGTGGCCTGGGACTGCCTTTTCTCCCTGAAGACTGTAACCTTGTGGGCCTGACCTGGCCTAGACCCTTTACAATGGTGATGACTACTCACGATGTTATAACTCCTATAATAAATCCACCTCAGTCCCAGACCCTCAGTCTGAGACCTCATACTCTCAAGTCAACACCCTAGGGGAAAGTCTGCCCTGCTAATATTTGATATTTCCCACAGTAGATTTGCATTTCTACTATGACTTGATGGCAATTTCAGCAACTTATCCTGTTACTTATGTAGTTTATAAGTAGAGCATCTCATATTTACTGAATTGGAACATTATGTGTTATGGTTTTATTCATTCAATTCAGAGTAGTAGATAGTAAGTTTTTGATGAAAGTTCAGCTCCTTTCAATTATTAGTGTTAGTATTAGTATTAGTATATTCTGAAGCAGGGCTTTCCTGTGTATCCTGAACTGACCGTTAATTCATGATATGTCTACCTTAGTCTACCATTTTCTGGGATTACATGGATAAACCATGGGCCCAGCTTATTACTTGTATGTGTGTGTGTGTGTGGGGGGGTAGAGGTCAATCTCAGATGTTGTTCCTCAGAAGCTATCCTGTTTCTTTCTTTCTTTCTTTCTTTCTTTCTTTCTTTCTTTCTTTCATAGAGAGTCTCTCTCTGGGACCTAGGCTTTATCAATGAGGGTAGGCAGCCTCAGGGATCATGCTGTCTCCACCTTCCAGTTTTGGGATTAAAGTGTGTGCCACAATGATGGGCTTTTATGTGTGTGTTATGCACAGAACCTGGATCCCCATGCTTGCCCAGCAAACAATTAACAGATCAATTTCCCCAGTCCTTATCGTTAGTATTAAGATTTTCTATTGAGTGTTCTGTGAAGACATTTAAAATTTTAACTAGGGGATATTTTTGACTCAAGTGGTAGATACTCTGATTAGCTTCAATGAAGACAAAATTCGCATTTGCTAGTCTAAGTGGCTAAAATACCAACTGTTTCAGATAATGCAAAGTCATGTCCTTGTTAAATTATAAACTCTGTGAGAGTAGGCATTCCTTATGCATGCCAGGTTTTAGGTGTGTTAGAAGCAGTGGGTTACAGTACAAATAGGAAATTTATGTATAAATATTAAGCAACATTCAAATCCTGTAGCCTTTAGTTACTACTTAATGCTTTCTAGAACTAGGAATCTGAGAAAGTTATGTATCTCTTCTTTCTTGGGATGCATGTGGGGGGCATGTGTGTACAGGTATTCATGCCCATACGAGCATGTAGAAGTTAGACAGATGTCAGAACCCTCTACTTTGACTCTGCTTTATTCTCTTGAGTCAGTGTCTTTCACAACATATGTTATGGGGCTTATAGTAGTCCTTCTGTTGTAACAAATCTCAATAGCTAAAAACAGCAGGGAAACTCCAACATCTGTGAAGACCTGAGCGAACCCAGCTTACTGGATGCAACTCTGTCTCACAGGCTGTGAAATGTACATTCTCTTTTCTAGCTGTAGTGCAATGATTTGCTCAGCAAAATCTTCATCTCAACTATATCGGTGCTAATTGACCAGAAGTTAACCATTCTGTGCATAGGTAACTTACGAGCATCAGATTTTCCAAGGTCATTGTCCTGATTTAAAATATTGGTTAGGTTATGCTATGTTTGGCTGATGTCCCTGGGGAGCCTGCTCTTTTCTGAGGGGAAATGGCAGCAGTTGGGGGGAAGGGAAACTTCAGTTGGTTTGGAATGTAATATATGAGAAGAGAATAAACAAACAAACAACAAAACAATGGTTAGGATTTGTAAGAGTGAAAACTGTTTGGTGTTTTATATTGGCTTTTATATATGTGTTCACTGAATTTTTCACCTAGAAACTGCTAGGCTGTATTTACATTGATTTTGACTTCTGGAAGTAGACAATTCTGACAGTCACTAGGGATGTAAATGAACGTCTGTTTGGTTGAGAATCACATATGCCTTGTAGGCTTCTTCTACAATGGGGGCTTGATGGCACCATAATTAAATATATGGCCAAATGATGGGAACTGGTGTTGGGGGTTATCTACAAAGATGCAGGAATCTGCTGTTTGCTGCCTCGAACAGAATACTGGAACCTGGGGGTTGGGGCTTAAATCAGTGTGGTACCTGTCATGTAAGTATGACATCCTGGCTTCCTATTTCTAGCACCCATTACAATGCTTGGCATGGCAGTGGGCTCCTGTAATCCCAGATCCGAGGAAGCAAAAGCAGCTCTAGGTTAGGTGAGAAAGCCTGGGCAAAAATTGGGGAATATACCCAGTTTTAACCTCTACCCTCTGTGTGCATGCCCACGCGCACACATGTTCATGTGTCCACATACATGCATACACAGAAACATGTATACACACAAAACATCTGAACATATATCTTTAGAGGACCACTTATTTTTCTGAAGGCAGGCTTAGCTTTCATTAGTTTCGTTTCTGTTACACTTTTATGCTATTAGAGCAACAACAACAAAAGGAACATACAACTGTATATAAAACTAGTTTCTCACTGTACCTGGACACAGCCAATGGGGACAGGGAGGCCGAATAAGGAAGTTATATTGCTGTATATGGCAATGCATCCTGACAGACAGCATTGTTGTCTGCACTTGCCAGAGGGCCTATATCAGGCAGGATCTCACAGTTATGCCATCTGTTAGCTTTATATGGTGAGTACAGAGAAGCCAGGAAATGCCCAGTCGGCTGGCAGAGAGACTGTGAGGCTGTTAAACCAGGGACGTACAAAGTCAGTGTCCCTTTCTAAAAGGAGTACTGTGAGCACTTCTCTTCCTTTTGTTGATGCCATTTGGGAGCATGTTATGTCTGACATTGAGATTAGGAATGCAGAAGTCCACACTTGGGAAATTTGCTTTTGGTTGTGTCCTTCAAAAGCATTTTGCATAGACTGTCTAAATCCTGAGACTCTTTTATGCAGCTGTCATCCATGACCTTATCAGAACAGGCTTCAACTTCCATCTTTTTCTAGCCATGAAACATCAGCACTGTACACTAACTTAAATGCAGACATGAAAAAGAAGACATTTTCTACATATGACACAAACACAATCCTATTCTACTTTTGCCCCTGATAGCTCTAAAATAGCTAAAGAACTGTTATATTTGGATTAGAAGAGAGAAATCTTGGATGTCACTTAACTAGCCAGGCTCCTTACACAGTCTCTTGGGCTCTGAGCCCTTGAGATTTTTGTTACTGTTTTTAAGACTATGGCAGTAAAAGGCTGATGTAGACATCCCAGTCACAGGAGAAGGAGGTAATCCATAAAACTGTCACCCTTCATTACAAGGACTCAAAAGTATTGAGTATTTAGTTATTATTTTCAGCAGTTTTTGGACCACTTTACAATATCCTGTTACCATGGTAACAGTTATCTAAGAGGATACCCCAACGTGGCACATTTAGACAGTGCTGGTTTTAATACCAAGAAGGAAGCTGAGGCAATTTGAGTCTGATAATCATTACTTTTACACGAACGAGGAAAGAAAATAACCTTGGATATTCTTGGCCCAGGATGGCAGGATTCAACATTTATAAATACAGATCTATACTTGGATGTGTGATTCGTAAGGTTGCAAAGTAGTAAACACGAACAGGATCCTCCTTGTAAAGTTTTAAAGGTCTGAGTAAGTTACACAGAAAAGGCCAGTGTTCCTTTTAAGGAACTTCTGCAGTGGCTAATAATTCACTTAGAATTTTCTATAAGGGAAATTAACATCATATGCTTAGTGGATGGATGTGGTTGCTTATCATTTGGCAGCAGATAATATAAACCTTTTAATATTGAGTTTTATTTATCATCTCTAACATCTTAGGTTTCCCCCCCCCTTGGAAACTTAACAAAGCAAAGATTTGAGAGTCAAACATTACAGATTAAAAATCTATAGATGCAAAGAATGGGTCACATTGATGTGCTCATTATTACCTGTCATTTATTAACTTAAAAACACATCCAAAGAGTTTTGATAGAATCTTTCAGACAGGATCTATAACTGCACAGAAAGCAACGATCTCTTAGGTTTTGTGCATACTGTGTCTCAAGGGCTAATAGGCAAAGTCTACAACACCATTCCTGTCTGAGTCACTTTCCCTTCATTATTATGGGAAAATTCAAATTTAGTCATTTTGAGTCAGAAATTCTGAAAGGAAAACAAATGTCAAAACACTGACACCAGAAACATACAACTGTCATTAAACGGAGCGGATTAGTCACAAGCCCTGGGATTTTTCCTGTCACTTAAATGTGACCATCATCATTCCAACACAGATTTTTCAAGCTTTATTAGTCACATTCACATTTAGTCACATTCCTTAACAATCTGAGAAGTCTAAATCCCAAGCGCATGCTATATGAATATACTTTTTTTTTTTTTTTGGCTTCAGCTACAACACCGAAGCCAAGAATAATCCATTCTGAACTCACGTCTGTATATAAAACATGATCACTGCAAATTCAAAAACAGCTCGTACTTTACTCTTTCAAAGTTTTCATGTTTCCTCTCTTCACCATTGCAAAAACAGCTCGTACTTCACTCTTTCGAAGTTTTCAAATATTTCCCCTCTCACCATTGTTTCTGTCCCGATATCCTTCTCATTCTTTTGCTAGATCTCTTGATGCCCCTGGCTCCCTGTGTCTCCCTTCAGCGGAAGTTACTCTTGGCAGCACCTCAGTCCTTTATGTGGGTACACAGGCAATGTCTATGCAGCAGCAGCTCCCTCCTCTCAACCCCACCAAGTTCACCTGCAAAGACGCCATGGCTCCACGGGTCTTCCTTCTCTGCTACCAGAGACCTCCTCTTGCAGTGGACGTGGCCAGCACTCAGCTGCCTGCCTAGACTCTGGCGCTGTGGAGGAGTGTTGCCAGAAAGGGCTGCCCCTGCACACTGAGTAACGCTTTGGCAGAGTTTAAAGACTAAAAAAAAAAAATGCCCTCAACACTTTGACTTATCATCCAGGGAGCTCTCAGCCTGCTCAGCTGAGAGGGACATGTAAATGTCCCTTTTTTCACAGACAGTTTTTTTCTTCCCATGATATTACCTCCCTCCGCTCCAATCATCTCACCTCCCAAGTCCCAGTTCACAGTTTCCCATCCCCTGGTGTGAACTCACATCCATTTCAAGAAACAAATCACTCTTCTATTTTTTTTTGTTTGTTTTACAGTGCATGTGGGAATTGGATGCTGTGAAAGGACTTACTCCCTTCGCCCCTTTTCTCTTCTCTCTAGGCTTTGCCTATCCCTGATAGAAAGTTAAAAAAACGGGGTGTTGTTATTTAACAAAAATCCAGATTTTTATGATTTCCAATTCAAACAGAAAAACAGATTGCGTCGTTGCCTTCACTCCACATTGTTCTCCCTCTGCCACACAGCAGGGTATTCATGGGAGCTCTGATGGCTCGGGCAATCCTCATGACAGACCCCAGGAATGCACCACAGCACGTACAATCCATCCTTTGTCAGGCTCATGCGCAGACCCAGAAAGACGCGCATGCTGGCTGGCATGGCTTACCGTTCTAATGGCTGTGGGGATGCCAGACTCATCTACAGGGCCGATCCCTGGGTAATGCGGTGCCTTGATAACTGTCACTCTCTTCTCTTCCTCTGAGGATCTGTAGAGTGGGATGGAGCTTCCCATGGTGCCATCCAGAGACTGGGCATGCTGGGAATACGCCTCTGCAGAATCTGTGTGGAAAGTACAGTGACTCGAAGCACACCGGATGCACAGACTATAAATTAATGGTGCCTCTTGTACATTGATTGCCAGCCATAATAGAATGCCATTTCTACCTCTATGCCTTTTCACATATTTACCCCATCCCATTCAGAAGTGGGTATTACATATATGTATGGAACAACAAGGACCTCACCATTTCACAAAGAAGGGTGAGAGGAAGAATATTTGTTAAATGATGTGTGCGGCCATGTTGAATGTGTTTCACCTCACCTTCCTTGCAGTAATCTTGGAGGGGCAAGGGTCACCTCTATAGATGAGGGGGCAGAAGTTGAAAGAAGCCTAGTCACTTTACTCAGGTCATTAGTCACTCATGATTCTTGTGAGGCTCCTGATTGCCATAGGTGGAAATACTGACAGGTGATTTTAGAGAAGCAATAGAATTACTGATCCAAAGATATGATTCCATAAAAATAAATTGAAAATGAAATTCAGTTATTTTTTTTTTTTAGATCTAGACATACACTAGCAAGTGAAGGCTTATGGGTAAATAAGTGCTTTTCAGTGATTACAATTTATTGAATTTTATTTAATTTTGTTGGTTTTATGGGAAAATGCCATGGCTTTTTGTCCTTTGAGACTGACAATTATCTTACAGGCTAAAGTTACACAAGGCTTATCAAATTTTCTATCTTCATGTTAATGTCATGAACCTCTAGAATACTATCAGAAGTAATAGAGAACAAACGTGCACACTGCCTAGTCTGTTCATTTCCAGTTTATAAAAAAGCTTTGAAAAAAATCAACATTATTGGCCGTCACATTATACTTTAGTGATGTGACTTCCTGCTGCTTTGAGATTTCAGAACTTGGTGAGCAGGACTGAGCCTTCATTTAGGCTCTGGGTGACCTGCTTTAGCTGGCCTGTCTCTCAGTTCTTTTCTGTGGAAGCTGAAAAATTCTTACATTTCAGGAAAGCACTTGGCTGATTATATTCATATATGTGTGTGTGGAATTCATTTTCATATATATATATATATATATATATATATATATATATATATATATATATCTTCCCTTGCTCTCCTCTT